CACCAGGAAGCAGAACCAGATTGCTATTGCACGAACCCGAGAGCCAAAACACGGTCAACTCCACCCGACGATACACGCCGTTCGACCCCGCACGATATACGAGGAGCGGGGAAAACACTTAAGAAAATACACAGGCTCTTGAGGCGGAAAGAGCCAGGAAAGGATGGGATGATTCATCAGGATGGAGTTGGGGGGGGGGGGGGCGGGAGGGAGGAGGGGAGAGAGGAGGAAGGAGGAGGGGGAGGAGGAGGGGAGAGGGAGGAAGGAGGGAGAGGAAGAGGAGGAAGGGAGGAGGACAGAAAGAAGGGATGTGGGGAGAAGGTAGGAGGGAAGGAGGGGGAGGGGAGGAAGAGGAGCAAGGGAGGATTGATGGGAATAAGAGAGGAGAGCGAGGAAAGGAGAGAGGAGGAGGAGAGAAAAAAGGAAGGAAGGAAAACAGAGGGAGGAGGTGAGAGAGAGAAAAGGAATGGAGGGTGAGAAGAGGAGGAAGGGAGGTGAAAGAAGAAAAGGGAGGGAGGAGGAGAGAAAGAGGAGGAAGGGAGGAGGAGAGAAAAGAGGAGGAGGGAGGAGGACAGAGAAGAAAAGGAAGGGAGGAGCTGAGAGAAGAGGAGGAAGGGAGGTGAAAGAAGAAAAGGAAGGGAGGAGGAGAGAGAAAGAGGAAGGGAGAAAGAAGAAAGGAGAAAAGAGGAGGACAGAGAAGCGGAGGAAGGGAGGAGGACAGAGAAGAAAAGGAAGAGAGGAGGGGAGAAAAGAGGAGTCAGGGAGGGACATCGTCCTTCTCTGCCAGCATTCTAGTCTCCCCCGCCCCCCCTGCCCCCTCCCCCCTCCAGGAAGAGCCGCATTTCTGCTTGCCTTCAAGGAGACTTCCTCTGCGCCCGCGGGTCTCCTAATTCCCGGGCTGGTGACGTCATCAGAAATTAGTGCACGACAGGAAATGATGGATGGATGGATGCTCTGTACGTATGCATGCACCAGATTATATGCATGTGTGTGTGTGTGTGTGTCAGTGTGTGTGTGTCAGTGTGTGTGTGTCAGTGTGTGTGTCAGTGTGTGTGTGTGTGTCAGTGTGTGTGTGTGTGTGTGTGTGTGTGTGTCAGTGTGTGTGTGTGTCAGTGTGTGTGTGTGTCATGTGTGTGTCAGTGTGTGTGTGTCAGTGTGTGTGTGTCTGTGTCAGCATGAACATTTTTTTCTTAATCCTGCCCCATCCCCTTCTAATTTACCCCCCTCTAAAATTCCTTATTACCTTTAAACCGTACCATTCGGGCAACTGAACCGCCTAAAACACCGAATTCATTCAAAGCAAAGCGCCTTACCCTTCCTCTGCCCCAAGCCTCTCCTCGCGAACGGGTAGGCTAAGGACGCCCGGCCCTTGGGTTTCCCGTTCGAGCGCCGCGCCTCGCCAGCCCACGCGCGGCGGAGACGAAACCTGACTGATGATCCAAGGACATCGCTACTACGTCTCATAAAAAAAACATGAAGCCGCTCTCGCCCACAATTAAGTGATTGAGGTTGTTTCGATTCCCACATGGATGCATTATTTGAGATGAAATCAACCCTCAATTTAGGAGGAGAAATTACTATCGATTCACTCTTGCAACATGATTATTGCCACCACACAATACCATGTGAACAATGGGGAGATAAAATACACCCAGAGTAATATCTGTTCCTATGGACACAATAAAAAAGACATAACAGCACGTTCTACATGCCAAGAAAAATACGAAAGGGTTGCCACAAAATAGCCTTTTAATCTGTATTGTGTGAAAGCCTGGTTTTCCATGGCAACGAGGCGGGAGATGATTAGGTGTGCATAGTGATGGATGCCCGACTAACACTGCGTTCACCCAGCAGAGCGAACATACCCGAACCAAAATCATTTTCTACACATTATACATATCATCAATCTCGGATCACACTCGTTACTCGCATCACACATATGCGTACACACAAGTACCCTTTATCAGCACTGCCCTTCGCCACCCAAACAAATCACAGGTTCAAGGTCACAGTTATCGTGGACTCCCTATATCAGGGTATCATTGGTGTCATGTCCTCGAGGAAAGCGATAGGAAGAGGCAATCATAAAACACCCTTTGCGAGGCTGCCAGATTCCCTACTTCACTCGGCTACTTTTTGATATCCGGAGCGACCGCCTTTAAAGACCGCGCGACGCACTATACAAGCATGACCTTGAAAGTACCCGGAGAGGGTGTTATTAGAGCGGTGACTTGGTGTCAGGTGTTGGGAGAGCCCGGAGGCCCCGAAAAGGGTCTCGTGTTGAAAAAGCGAAGGTGTTGCGGGGGGGGGGGGGAGCATGTTCGACGGGAACAAAATAAAATGCGCATTACAATGTCATAAAGGTAAATGGTGAGAAACCAGGCACATCGTGAGGGTCTAAGTAACACCTAAATTCGTTCGGAAAACGGCAATCGTGGCAAAGACGGTGACACAATAATAATGACAGTAACAATAGTATGACAATGATAACGTTCATGACAGTATCAACAATATAAATAATAACATTAACACGCTAATAATTATGGAAAGAGCTTCAAAGGTTCCCACCTGCGAGTGGTAATGATGATGATGATTGCTGATGGATGTGATTATGAATATAACGAATGACAGCCATAACACCTTTAACGCAAAATAAACAACGACAACAGAATTCGTTAGAAAGGCTTGGAAGCGAAAGCCAATGAGAGAAGAAAGTCATAATCGTATCTGTCATCTAACTTTCTCCCGTGAGTTTTCTGCCCAATGGGGTTTCTGATCTTCCTGCGCGAGGTAACGGATTCGCAGAGACATTCCAATCCTCTATAACCTCTGCTCTCGTGCTGGGCCGTGTTTGGACAGAAGGAAAGTGGAGGGGGGGGGGGGTTAAAGAGGGGAGAGTGAAGGATAGAAGGAAGCAGAGAAAGGAACGGGAAAGACGGAGGGAGTGAAGGAGAGAAGGAAGTAGAGAAGGGAGAGGGAAGGAGGGAGGGAGAGAGAAGCAGAAAAGGGGAAAGGGAAAGTAGAGGAGTTAAACGGGGGGAATTAAAGAGGGAAGGAGGGAGGGAGAGAGAAGCAGAAAAGGGGAAAAGGAAGAGGGAGGTAGGGGGAAAGGAGGGGAAGGGGGAAGGGAGGGGGGGAACGGAAAGAGGAGGGGGAGGATAGGATGACAGGAAAGAAGAGGGGGGAGGGATGGGGTAAAGGGTGAGGAAGGGGAAGGATGAGAGAGGGGGGGAGAGGGGGAGAGGAGACAGGATGAGGGAGAGAGGAGGGACAGGAAGAGGGAGAGAGGAGGGACAGGAAGAGGGAGAGAGGAGGGACAGGAAGAGGAGGGGAGGATGGGGTAATGGGGAGGAAGAAAGAAGAGGTAGAAGCAAAGGGATAGGTGGGGAAGGAGAAGGGGGGGGGGGAGGGAGGGGAGAGGGGAGGAGGGAGAGGGGAGAAGGGGAGGGGAGAGGGGGAGAGGGGAGGGAGAGGGGGAGAAGGGGATGGGACATGGACATGGAGACGGAGAGAAAGATGCGGAGAGCGAGATAACAACAACAATAGTAAACAATAACAATCATTAATAATAATGAAGTAAAGCATGAAAAGCGAATATAAATAAATGTAACGATTTCTCAACCAGCAAATAAAATCAACAGAAACAAATCCCGCCATACAAGACCTAACTACAGCAATCTCACACTTAAAATATTACAGATGTTAATACAGTCACGTGACGTAAGGCCATTTTTATTTTGAGCGCTGTTTTTTTTCTTAAACTTTCGCTGAGGAAAAAATCAGAATCCATAGCAATGCACGCTTTATGCTTGCTTCGTTCAGTTTTTTTTTTCAACACTATTGCATTGGCGAGTCATGCTTGTACATATCTTGAACTTACCGACTCGCAGGCATGAACAACAAGACGTCTTGCCGCATATGTTAGAGGCGGTAACAATTACCTTCGTGTAAATTTCCTGTAATTCATACCACAGTCACAATGGAAAACCCACTGTAATATTGGGTAACAAAAGGCAGAGTACAAGCAGGATGTCTCGGTCGATGAAATAATATACTTTTTTAAGACATTAATGAGAGGAAACGATTAAGTTGACAATGAACAAATGCCGTTTCTCGAAAAAAAATCCCAATGGTTTGTCCAATGTTTCATCGACAGCTTTTGTTCATTTCTTGTTGCCGCTTATGTTACTGTAGCCATAGGTGGGATAGTGAAAGTATTTTAAGAAAGAAAACGGGATTAAGGGACAGACTAAGTCGCAACTGGACTGATAGAAAAACAATAATCTAAAGGTAGAAAACTATGAAAATAATCACCCGATAACCGATCATCACAAAAATAACCAATAGAATTTATATGTTTAGGTTCATTGTTTTGACTGGCGATAGGACTTAACAAACGGAAAGGCCTTTGTATTTGGCAGAATTGAAGAAAGGGATATAGGAAGCGTGTGTACATACAAATATCTCACTCGTCACCTCGTGCTGTCAGATTAACGCTGGATTCGGAGATAAAAAACAAAGCTAGATTATTTTATAATGCTATCGTCCTTCACAAAACCCACAATCATGGACGAAGTCTCGAAAATACTTTGAACCAAGTCTATTTTTCCATTAATTACTCCTTAATAGTCAGTGTCACTGACTCAAATAGTTTTAATGCATTTTACTTTGCAAGCCTGTATATACTTTATATTGGAATTTTGGGGAGAATTTGACAAAATAATTAGTTGACTGCAATTCTAGAAAAGCATCGGAATTCATATCCAAATCTTATAAAATAACCTTCCACCGCTTTATAAGTTATATGAATCTCGGTGCACGGGGAAGTTAACATCAATGGGATCATGACTATTTTTTTTTTTTCAGACTAGGTAAGGTTTAAATACCTATATCATATAAGAACACTGAAAACTAGTATTAACAGCTGTTCTTTAGGAAAAAATATACACACTTCCCTCCACCAAAATCTCGTGAGAGTTACATTACGTGGGCCAACTCACCTGTGGTCTACATTATTGCCAACAAAGGTCATGCACACCACGACCATGGCCGGCATGAAGGAACCCCAACACGAGAGGAAAAAGACGAACTTCTGGTACTTCCCGAAGGGGCCGAGGGCGTCGTTGATCTCCTCGAAGTCCATCACGTCTTTCTTCGGGGGCGCGTGGCTCTTGGCCAGTTCCATGGCGGCGGGTTTTATTTCACGCGAGGGGGGCGGCGGGTACTACGGGCACTTTGCGCGCCTCCGTCACACTTTCCTTTTCGTGTCCTTTAGTCGGATGATGCTATGAGTGCATGAGTGAGGGACAAAAGTGAGTGAGTGAGTGAGGGGCAAGAGGGAGGGAAACTTGAATATGCAGATGCAAGGTTGTCCGGACACCGCAGTGATCAAGGAAGGGGGCGGCGAGGGAAGACGAAACTAGCATGGGAAAGGCAGCATAACAATGCTCTAGTCAAATGCCAGTGATGCCTGGTCTCCAAATGGCAAAAACTACCGACACAGTGAAAGTGCGGACTGATGGGGGGGGGGGAGTTTTCACAAGTTACTTTGCATGAAATGTTAATGCCATTATATCGCAACCGTTCAAAACTTGTCCAGAATTATATATCACAACGAGCAAGCCTAACAGGTCAGTCTTACCAATATCCCCTGTAGTGTCTACTAGCTATTTGTATTTCCTACTTTGTATTTGGAACAACACAATTCTTATGTTTAAACTTAAGTGGGTTTTACGTTGACAGCTTGTGGAATAAAATTTTGTACTTCTACTTTTGATTTATAACGGCAAATAAAATGCAAGATTTTGCGCAACTATTTACTATACAAGATTTTGCGCAACTATTTACTATACACATCTTCGAACTAAGCTAAAAAGAAATCTGAATTCAAGTTAATCATGGTTGAAATCATCTCAGTGAGCTTAAACGGTCTCTATTACAGTTTTTGTTTCGTTTTGCTAACAGTAATGTCCATAACGACAAATGCACAACGTACACCACAACCACCACATCAGCTGTTTCCCAAGGTATACTATCTTCTGGACTCCTTGGTGTTTCCGACTCGTCTGTACTGCGATTCCAGGTTCCAAACCAGGGTTACTTGTAGGTTAGGTAGAGGGTGCCCGCTGCTCGATGCTCATCGCCACCGGAAAACGACATTTGGTTACCGGTTATACATTTCGTCACTTTTTGTTTTCTATGAAAAATCGGTGTGGCGTGTAAAACTTCCACAGGATGTTCAAACATGATTATATTCATATTCACATTTAATTTTCACGGTATAATAAAATGTATGGAAACACTACAGCTAGTGTGTGACAACGCTCTCAAAGACCATGTAAATTCATATTCTTTTCCGAAAGTTGATACCATACAGCGAAACATTCATTTCAGTACCGGTAATCAAGAATATTTAGTAAAATCACCACGTGGGTGAAGAGTTACGCATCATCTTGCTTTACCGTGCAAAACCCGGTGCACGCGATCAAAAATTAGCAGTCGGCGGGTGAGGACAGCAGCCACGAGCATTCGGCAAGGTGCTCCTCTGGGTTCCATATTTCGCCTCGTCCACTCGGCTGCTGGCCCGAAGCCAACACTTTCGAGCCCCGGGCCGTCCTTCGTCGATGGGTAGGGTAGGCCTCTTTATGCCCAGAATCCTTTAGTCATCGTGTGCGTAGCTACCTCTTTCC